TAACATTACATCTTAGGATTCTTATCTTATATGTCGTGTAAACCAAAATAAAAAATTTAGCTTTATATATTATTTTATTTATATAATTAATGTAAACAATAACCTTTTTATATAGTTTAAATTAAAAAAATACTATAATTTTACAAAAAGTTTATAGCCACTTACATATTATATATTGAAATAGTTATAGAATATTACATGATCTTTCTAATATATTTTAAAGAGTTGAAATAGTTATACAACAACATGTGTTTTTCTATTATTTTATGTTTTATATTTTTTTTTTTCAAACAACCCGTGTAGTACACGAGTGTCGTACTAGTATGTATTAATCCTAAAAAATCATGAGTAATTAGATAGTATTATCGGTGAATTTAATGATGTAAATTTTTTAATTAGAGTATTGAAATTTATGATAAAATATATCTTCAAGATATTGTGTTTGCTTTTTGTTTTTTTAAATAAATTAATAATTTATAATTGTTAATGTACAAAAAATAATAAAAACATCTAAATTATAAAAATGTGGTGCTTTCATGTGATTCTTTGAAAAAATCAATTCAAGTCGGGATTTTCAAAATTTTATCTAAAGAATAATTTATACAGTCCCTATAAATTTAGATTATTTCCAAACTGTAATTTGGATTCTTTTCAAACTGTAATAAGGTGTTGAAGTTAAATAAATATGGACACCCATGTAATTTTTTGGAAAATTTTGTTTCACCAATTGTATAGGCGGGATTTATTTAAAAAAATTATTTAATTATGAGTGCAATTTAAAATTTAAAACAAAAATTATCTATAACTTTTTACAATAATTAATTATATATGCTACCAATAGCAATAAATTAATTATCACATACATTAAATATTTAATATGCACATCCCATAAATAAATATTAAGCATGTTAAATAAATAATGACATTACGCATATGAAAATTTATTATGTAATAATAAGTTTATGACGTAAAAATATTTACTTGGTTTCAAATTTTTCGTTATAGGTTGTCACATAATGCAAAATAAAAGTAAATATAGATTAATAATTTCTTAATCAAAATCAAATCCAATAGGTTTAGTACAATATTTCAAAACTCATATGCAAATTATTATTATTATTATTATTATTATTATTATTATTATTATTATTATTATTATTATTATTATTATTATTATTATTCTATATATAAAATATTTCTTATATTATATCTACCAATAATATTGTGAATGAAATTAAAGAAGATACTCCTTTGATTTTCCTACAATTATGGTAACAAATCCCTATGGTCAATATTATGACCATGTTTTAGGAATTAAGGTTTACACAATATTTTTCTCAAATTTGAAAATTTGATTGTTTGATTCATTGAGTTAAAGAATTTAGAAAATTAGGAGTTCACAAATTTTAAGAATTTTTTTTTGAAATTGAATTCGAATTTTCATTTAACCGCCATTTCCAAAAATAATAATAAAAAAATACTAGAATAACTTTAAAAATTTTAAGTGGGAATTTCAATAATATGTCAAGTAATCCCTCTCTATATTATATATAATAATAGATTTACGAAAACAAATCAATATATTTAGTCATTTACACACAAAATTCATAAATATAAATAATTTATGGAGGATTGGAGTTTATCAACATTTAGTATAACATCCATTATTCTCGGAATAATTTTTTGTTTGATTTACAACATTAATTTGAATGGATAAAATATCCGTAATTGTTGGGATATCTCAATTCAAAATCTCAATTTTTTGGCATAAGAATCTTCAAATTTGTTACCAATAAAAATAGATTCCTATGTGATTAATATTTAAAACGAATTAAAATTTGGTATAAGAATCTCCAATTTTGTTACCATAAAAATCTCCAATTTTTTTTGGATATCTCAATTAAATTTGATTCTCAAAGATTTACATGTGTTTTTTCCGAAATTTCCACTAATAGTAAGTCAAACCATTTATTTTTTAGTCAAACTGACTATAAAAATATTTTTTCAACAACCTCTTTATATAACTATAGATAGATATAAAAATTCCTTTTTATAATTGGCTTGGCTCCCGCTTCACTCAATGCTTTATTTCTTTACTTTTTTTTTCCAACCGATAAGTATATTAATAACTTAAAAATTCAAAAGAGTACAACCGAAATGTCAAGTGACACACTGGAAGACTGGACCAACCCCCCCTTGTCAACACACACAAGGAGGTACAAACTCCATCAAAAAGGCGAACAACCACAAAACAGCAACTCCAAAAAAGAGACACTAACTCCATATAGGAGAGAAAAACAGACAAGTTGCACTAAAAGCAGACACAGCTGCATTAAACGAAACAAGAAACAAGGCAACAAAATAAACAGACAAGTTGCACTAAAAGCAGACACAGCTGCATTAAACGAAACAAGAAACAAGGCAACAAAATAAAGACCAAAAGTAACACACACATAATAAACAACAAGATAGATTAAAATCTCCCCTAAACCTAACAGTTGAAACCTAAAACCACTAGAACCGTCTACCAAGTCACACCCCAACAAAGAGCACCAACCGAGCAACAAAACTAGGCTCCAAACCCGAAAACTGCGGTCACTCTACTGCTTAGACGAATTTTCGGCCCAAATCTGAGCCCCAAAGACCTTCATCGCCGGGGAAAAGAAGGAGAGCCATCACGAACCCACCGGAGGATTGGAAGGGAGAGATAGAGGAAATGACAACCTGCAACCGAGTTGCCCGGCCCGAAGAACCTACAGCCCGGCTGAATAAGGGCGCACGGGACCGCGGGATAGGCTCGCCCAACAAATTCAGTCTCTAGAAAGAACATGACCGCACAAATCGAGCCTCCAAACGGACCGACGAACTCCTACGGCTGGGCCTTGCAAGAGTAGCCGATGACCTCGCCGGAGGCGGGGGATAAACCGAGGAGCAAAAATCGCCGCTGGCCAACCACCCGCAGCACTCCTGGAGGCGGAAAGGAAGCACCCAGCCGCAACTTGACCAGAACGGCCCGATGACCACAGGAATCGCGCCGCGGGAAGAGGGGGACTGCGTTGAAATCAAATTTTAGATATGGGGGAAGGGTTTCTTTTTCGAATGGAGAGAGAGTAATGCATGCTTTATTTTTTTACACTGTTGCTATATTCGCTCTTTTTTTCCTTTTCACTTGTTGGGTTAACATAATTCCAAACAAATACCATTTGTCCTTCGTACTTCATTCATTCATCAATTCACGTTTGAGACCTTAGGCTGTTTTTTATTTGTTTTTTTCTTTTGCCGCAACAACAAATTGCACTTCATTCATTCAAAATTTACTCGACTATGACTGATTTTGTTTTGACTAAAAACTTGATTCATGTAGAATTAAGTTATTTAAAAATAGATACCCATTATACATTTATTTTATCAAACGTAACTTTTTATGAGTACTAAATTATTAAACTTAATCGTTTAGTGAAAATTAAAAGATAGTTGCGGGAAGTTGAAAGGTCTAAGAAACCTATATTACATCGAATTTTTAAATGAATCGATCTCTTCCAGTAATAGATAGTTATATAAAAGTCACAACAATTAAAATTATGCATCAAGTGTAAGTGTTGATTTAAATAACGCGCGCCTGCCGATTCAACATGACACGAATCAACCTTGGATCTTGAGATGGACTTGGATGGCCTAGGGTGGTATTAGGCGTGGGCCGTTGGCTCAATTCCTATGATTTATTTGCTACAAATTTAATTTATATATATATATAATTGCTAGCTAAGCAATAAATTTTACCTAATAAATAAAACCTAAAAAATTTTACCTATATGGCAAATCATTAACAAAACCTAATAAATAGAACCTAATAAATTTTATTTATGTGGCATTAATACACTCAATCTCATTAATAAGAAAATATTTCATTACATTTTTTGGGTTAGTTAAGATAAAAATCATTATATTTTATGTTAATTGATTAATAATTATATTTTTTATTGAATAATATAATAGTTAATATTAAAATTAGTAATTATATTTTATACTAAATAATATATGAAAGTTACATAAAATTATATTTTACACTAAAATCAATATTTTTTTATATGATGCAGATGTTGTTTATTAATAAATTAATTTTGTTTATGTCATAGTAAAATTTCTTAAAATCACATAAGAAATTGTTATAATAAATGTAATATTTTTCAGCTAATTAATTGGTCATGATCACTCAAAATTATAAAAAGTATATGTTTATTGCATTTTATGCAATCAATATAGTGATTCGTATACACTCAAATCGTGTGTACTATTTATTTTAACCAATGATCAAATTTTAAAATATAATACTATTATATAATTTATAAATTTAATATTATATACATAAATATAACATATAATACTATATGTTTGAAATATAATACAATTATATAACTTATAATTTTTATATTATATACATAAATATAACTTATAATATTTATTTACATCTGTGCAAATGCACAAGGTCGAATACTAGTCTTTTATCAAGCTCAACGAACCTGTACATGTTGACTCCATTTGAGAGTTTCAGTAATTATCGGGTGACTTAAGTAGTATATTAACACTTACTGTTTTCTACATGAGAATCACCATTATTAGGTAGTTACCTGACATTAATCGATGTATGAACTCTAGCTCTCCTCTTTTAGGCGGAAGTATTATAAATAGGACCTAGAGCTGCAGTAGAGAACACTGTTACAGAATATTGAACATATGCAAACTTGAAATTCATAAGTCTCACGCATCATACTCACTTATGTTCTAGTTTTTGGAGCTAGAAAATATAATATGCTACAACTTCTAAGACTTGGTCATTATATTTTTAGAATGAAATACCATAACCCGTCATCACATTACGGGCATATATGTGTCTTGCGAAAATAATAATTTTCTTTTGGCGCTCCATATTATGATCAAAGTGAAATTTCTTTTAATTTTATAGTTCATTTTGTAAATTCAATAATTCTCAATGTATTTCAGCACGTTTATAACACCTCGTGGAAAACAGGGATACTCTTGAATGCATGAGAATTCGAAGTTCACAATTCTCGAGCAAAAGATGTTTACATGTCATTGCACTAAATGATTCTGCCATGATACATGAGGTGATTTGCAAACTTCGCATACATCATTTAAATTTTGTCAAATGAAAATTTGGAAATAGTTTGGATAGTTATATGCAGCCACACTTGCATAATCAGATAACTAAGAGAGCATCGAAACTATACAAGAAACATTGCCACCACAATATAAAGCTAAAAATTAGCTAGTAGAAAACACACATGTTTAGAGGGTAAAGCATGTTTAGAGGGATCGTCTCTGAGCTAATGATGACAAGTTTGCAGCAAAAAGCCGTGTTGCAGTGAACTTTGGTGAAATTTTTCATGAGAAGTTCCCCTTAGCATCAGAAGTGGAGTCCAGATATGACATCACAAGATCTGCTGCTTGGCACCCACTAGATATTGCTTTGCCAACAGACAATCCTCCCTTGTGGTTGCCTTTTTTAGTGACAACGAGATAAGTATAAGTAAATACAAGGATAAGAAAAAAGGAGATGAGCAAGCAACCAACACATATTGTAGTCTCCATGAATGCTGATGTTTTCTGTCTAGCTTGACTTGTTATGTTCCTTCAGTTTATGATTTTTACTACGGTAACTCTACATATCTACATCTAAGTATTAATGCCTGTATCATATTATTAGGAAAGAACAACGAAGTAGCAAATTTAAATGTTGCAGTCATTTGAGATAGCGGTGAGCATAATTTTGCAATTGAATGGGGACCCTCTTCTAAGGGGAGTTGAGAATTTTCTTCAACTGTTCACGGAAAAGAGGTTAATAGAAATGAAAAGAATGTGCCACACAAAAACAGAAGTAATAAAACTTGAATGGCAAAGCCACATTAAAGAATATAAGATGAAAACTCTTACCAGCATAGAAAAACCCTGGAAGGCCTCTTTCCATCTTGTCAATAGCTTGAATGACAGAATCATAGTTATGACCATACAATGGAAATGCTTTACTCCAATAGAAGTGACTGCAATCAAGCACACAACCTGTAAGAGAACATACCCATGGTAGGTTCCTTCACAACTAGATCTCTTGAAATGAGAAACCTAGAAAAACAATTTGAATTTAGCACAGTTACTTCATAAAGGTAGGTTCTCCTTCTGCACCCAATAGCTGTCTGAGATCAGAAGTCACTATTTGCTTCAGTTGATCCCTATGACATGAATTATTGTAACCGTGGTTACAAGACGTGCACAAGTAAAAGATTGGTAATGTAACTTGGGAAAAAGAACCAAAAAATAAGAAAAAGCAAAAAAGAAAAAAAAAATAAAAAAAGGAGCCAGCACTAAACCAACAACAGAGAAGTTGATACAACCTCGAAGCTTTGGCAAGTTCTTGATTTCTACTTCCACCAACAAATGTAGTGTAGAGATAAAGATCAGAAGGTGCACGATCTGGGAACATCATTGAAGAGAATAGCGTGCCTGGATGGAGAAACTTTAGAGAAAAATAAAATGATCAATGACATTAGAGGATTTGAAACCTCAAAATTTAGCATTACCCAAAGTCTTCAGACCATTTTGTTGCTCTTTTGCAGGTACAAGAACTCCGAAACCTTCAAGCGGTCGCTTCACGTTCTCACGCTTAAATGTGGTGACTACAACAGACATGGGTAAGTAACTAACCTGCACATAAAGGCAGAATAACTGAAAGATTCAAAATGGTCCAGACATCACAATAAGTTTTAAAAATCAATGACTGGTATATGTGTGGTTAAGGTAAAAACAAAGTGCAAAATTTCGGTGTACTGTGTCAACTCTGTTTAAGAATCATGTAGTAGTTCTGATTCTGCCAGTAAAAATCCTTCTCCAAACACAACTAACTTTGAGAATTTAATATCGTATAACAGTTGCAGAAACTTTTGACCAGATATTTTAGCGCAGATACGATTTGTTGTGGATATAAACATGTAATATTTATATTCCAGTTGCAGCCATATCTTATTTCTGGTACTTCTTGTTTGACTCATAACTTCTGAAAATATGACTGGGTATCACTAGTTGTTGTCTCCTCCGTTTCTAAGATTACAGATCAAAGGTCAAAAATTGGAACTAATATTTTAGACTGGAATAAGACATTCAAAACTGAAGAGTAGAATTTTGGAAAATTCCTAATGTGTATCATCTTCCAGAGTCTTTATATGGGTTGAAACAGAGCCTGGTCGGGAAATTCAGTCAGTCAGTTGAAAGTTAAAAATTTTGGGATGCTGAAGTGTAAAAGTGATCATACGGTGTTTTAAGATACTCCGCTTCTGGGATCATTGTATTTGTTGTCTACGTAGAAGATACAGTAATAACTGGCAAGGTATTTCGTCTTCAAAACTATCCTTGCAGGACCAATTTAGTAATAAAGATTTGGAGGCCTTGAAATATTTTCTTGAGATTTGTTAGAAGTTTTGTTTGCCCACAATGATTAGTTAAAGGGCTGTTATTGTGTGTGAGTGGGTTAGTGATGTAGGGTAAGCGAGTGGGACGATATTAATGAGATCGCAATCTCAGGAACACCTAAACACGATATCAATTCATCTTTTATTCATAATCAACCAAGGAAAATAAACTAGAGGGAGTCCTTTAAATAAGGCTCCTAGCCCTAAACCTTAACTTGTCCACCAAGCCAAGATAAATAAAAACAATTAATAATAATAATCAATCCTAATAATGATACCAACTGATGTAGGGGAAGCATACAAGTGGATGATAATGAGATCGCAATCTCAAGAACACCTAAAAACGGTATCAATTCATCTTTTATTCATAATCAACCAAGGAAAATAAACTAGAGGGAGTCCTGTATATAAGGCCCCTAACCCTAAACCTTACTTGTCCACCAAGCCAAGATAAATAAAACAATTAATAATCAGTTAGGCACCCTCTCCTTTTAGTTAGCTTTTGGGGATGAGTTCTGCCCAAGCCCATTTTATCATGGGCTTAGAGCATCCATGTTTGTTTGTTTGGAGGCGATGGTGGGTTTCAAAGATACACAGGAAGTTCATTACTGGATATTGTGGTTTTACTGATGTGAACCTAGTTTCTGTGGAAACCTAGTTTAAGAAGCAGAATGTGGCATCACAATCTTGTGCATAGTCAGAGTATAGATCAATGGTGCTGGCTCATGCAAATTGCAAATTACTATGGCTCTCACAACTTTAAAATGAAGTTGGATTCAGATCCTAACTTGTCAAAATTGTGGTGCAACAACCAAACTGCAAATTGCCTCGAATCCCGTCTCTGATGAACGAACCAAACATATTGAGATTGATTGCCACTTTGTTCGTGAGAGATTCAACAAAACTTGATTTCTACAAAATGTGTGGAAACTGGGGAACAACTAGGACATCTTCACCAAAGTCCTCAATGGAGTGCAAGTTATAATTGTAACAAGTTGGGCATGATAGAATGCTATGCTCCAGCTTAAGGAGAAGTGTAGTAGATATAAATATTTACATATTTATATTCTTGGATACATACAGCCTAATTCAGGGATATCTATCTTGTTTGATTTGTATACGTCTTCCTCCTAGAATAGACCTTCTGTAATGTAAACATAAGTCGTACTCTTCTATCGATTATAATATACTATTTTGAGTTTCTCTAATACATGATTGAACCCTGAATCTGTTAATAGAAAGCACCAGAAAGCATACCTCTGGAATGAAGTCCAAGAGAAATGGGCTTTCTCGTCTTGTAATCTTCATTTCTTTAACATTAGAAAGGGGGGCCTACAAAGACACTTGGAGTCAATAAAATCTCATCATGTGCACTATCTACCGACAAAACTTCTCTTCACAATCATCATGCCACTTAGATCTGTGCCTCAACTTGCATAAAAAGTTTTAATATAACGTTCATGGTAGGAGAATCTGAACCTGTATAACTGCTACATATTATAGAAAGGATAACTTGATTAAATAAGAGCTAACTTTTTTTTGCTTCCCCAACAATTCAAAATTTGACACTTTGCCTGATCATTTAAAGCTGACAAACTGCCTCTTGATATACATACGAATTTTTCTAACAGCCTCCCAAAACCGGTTTTTGACCGGTAAAAAGCTGGTTGTGGGAAGCACTTTGTGAAATTTTTAAGAGAAAAGAAAACAAGAGTGCCAACCATTGAATAGTTTGAGAGGCAAAAAAAATCGTGCATTTGTATTCCCTTTTTTTTTTTTAATTCTGAAATTTATAATTGCTTCTGTATTTTGTGTCAGCAAATGCAAACAAATTGTTTTGATGGCTTTGGATGGTGGATCTTTAAAGAATTTTACATCATCGTGAAATATTTTTCCTTTTGAATATATATGTTCATGGTGATGACATTTGTTCGTGTTTTTCCGCATATGCATGCTAGCTATAACAGAGCCTACGGGTCTTTAATATTTCTACATAGCCTACTTTTTGGTCATCGCGGAAATGAACATGAAAAAAAATGTTAAAAAATGTTACCAAGACTTTATTTAAGATTTAATCTAATTAGAGCTATAAGCAATCAATTCAACATATTTCGCTAAATATTCATGTGCTTGTACTGTTGTACATCATTTAAAAAATTTATTGACACTACAAACAAGACATGTCGAGACTTGAAAGTGCATGTTGTAAATCGAAAATACATGGATGGTTTGAACTTTGAAAATGTGATATTAGAATAATTTAAGTTATTTATACATAACAGTTTTTTTTTTACCTCTCAAACTATTCAAAAGTTGACGCTATGTCTCCTATTCTTTTAAAGTTGATAACCGCCTCCCAAAACCAGTTTTTTACCATTTGAATATTGAAACTGGATTTGATCGTTCAAAACCTGGTTTTGGAAAGCCGTTTGAAAAATCCATAAATATCGGGAAGCAAGTTGTCAGCTTTAATGAATGGGAGGCAAAGTGTAAAATTTCGAATAGTAAGGTAAAAAATTGAACTCGTTAAATAATCCCTGTGCACTTACTGTAACTATTAGAGCATCAAAGGACTTCTCGCAGGAACGTTTTATGCCGTCCAATTCATAACAAACTGACCAGTTACTTAATGGAGAATTCTTGCTGTCACAACAAGATAATTCCAGCACCCTAGAGCGAACTGCAAGTTCATCCTCACCAAGTTCATTGGACAGTGCATCAGTGAGTGTCTGTAAACATATAAACAAAATGCATCTTAGTTGGGAGCCATCAATGGAACTAAAGTTGCAGTGATGTGACCAAATCAAATTACAATGGTTTGAATTTACCAATTGATACTTTCAGCCAGCTTCGGGAACAAAAATATTAATACGAGTATACCAGATAAATGTTTCTCGTCCATGGTTTAAGGCCAAGCATGTCGATATAAGTTAAATGACTCCTCACAAGAAACTCCATTATAGTCTATAACATCCAACCACTTCACATAGAGGATTCATATTAAGTACCAGGAAACTTACATGTTTTGGGCTGTATTGCTATTGCAGCACCATCAGGAAAAACAACATGTGTGAAAATATCGGAATAAAAAACTATTTTCTCAGAACTACTGCTACATAAAATTAATTTCTATACAGATATATATTGAGGTTTTAAATTATTCATTGACTACCCAAACCAGAGGTTCAAAGATTGATGTGCATTAGACTCCTACCTGCATCCCGCCTACAAAAGAAAATGAGCCACGCTTATGTTTCTTCTTTGGCGAAGAGCCACCACTTGTTCCCTTCCTGTCAGAAAGCTTAGACTGAATAGCACCAGCTATGATTGAGCCAAACCTGCAAATTGCAGAAAAATTTTGAACTGACCTAAAAATGATGTCATTGTCCACTAGCAAGAGACCAATAGTTTGAAATTGTTTCTGGAGGCTTTTACTATTATACTATTAATACATTTAAAAAGAAAAGGTTATCAAATGATACTTTTATGAAGTTGAGTGATAGTGCATCTAAATGCACTCTAACATATCAACATTGCTGCTGAAAGAGGCCATTGTTTCGGCACTTAAAAATCCTTATCAAACTTATGATTTGATCATTCCGAAGTAGTACTTGAAGTTTACATTATTACCATCCATCCTAAAATGGTAAGTACATTAATCTTCATCCATCAATTCATTGATAATTTAATCCCAACTTACGTGCAATAGCACCATAAAAATGAAAAGGAGCTAGTCCAAATAAACATTGCATGCAGCTTACCTTTTTTCAAGATTCCACAACTCTGGAAACACATGGCGCATCTGATCCAGGATTAAAAAAAGACAAAGCGTTCAATCAACCAGTTCATATGTAATGGGTAGTAAACTGAGTGATCACCCAAGCTCAGTAGAGCAACATGTATACTCATCAATCAACTAATTAGATGCATTTGTCTATTTCATTTGCTATTTAAATTGTTAGACTAGGCAGGCAAACCAACCAATGAACATGTACACACTTACAGAAAGAGATTCAGGATCTCCGCCATTAGTTCCAGCAACAAAAGGATCAATAAGATAGTCAACAACCTAAAAGAAGTGGATTATTGTTAAGCCATATTCAATCACTATGCGGATATGATAAAACAACTATGTAAAAAATTGTATAACAAACATATCTACACAAATAATATTTTTTCTAGCTTAGGATCTCCGTCATATTAGACATATACCACGAGCATTCGTAAATCTCTACCAAGAGGAGAAACTCATTAAGCTCAAAACTAACTTCAGGGTTATCATTGAAAATAAAAGTAAGTACGTAATGGCATAAGGAGAACCTCTTTTCCAAAATGACGTTGAAAGAAAGCACCAACACTGCAGACAAAAACATAACTGTCATGCTTTCTGAGGTAACTAGAACATTACAGTTAATAAGGCCGCCCCAAACAGGACTTATGGTACTGCTAAGAATTTAGTCAATTTACAACAGATCATTTGAATATCATATAAATCTCAAGGACAATGAAGAATAATAAAATTTCCCATCACCCACACAAAAAAGATTATGAAAGGAAACGGTATTCCTTAATAATTTAAAAAAAAAAAAAAGAATAAAAAAAAGAAAGAAAGAAAGTTGTTTTGGAGTCCCATCAAGGTAGCAAGAAAAGACCCGAGACATGTCAAGTGAAATTGAGAGAACTGGGGCTGTTGTCAAGGAAGGCAGTTCTGTTGTTATTCAAATACCTTTCCTTTTTGTCAGGTTGCTTCGGCGCATCATTATTCTTCCAATAAAATGGTTCCGATAAAATTTGAAGCTGAAAATGGAAAATCATATTTTATGTAGAATTCTACCAGAATGCTCAATGGATCTAACTTCCCGAAAAGACAAATATGCAATCAATGAGGAATGTATAAAGTGAAGACTTCTTTGGTGCGGGAAGAGTGATTAAGCAAACAACTTTATTCAAAATTTAAAGCAAGCATTAAGTTTGAAATGAAATATTTCATCACTTGCATAAGAAAATTCGACCAAATCAATATGGAAGTTAGTTTTGGTCTTGAACGTATCAAAATGACAATTAGCAGTAACCACCACAAGGTCTCCAAATGAGATTGCAAGAACCTCACATGAGCAATTCCATAATGTATTAACCGAAAGTGTAAAGAACACTTTCATGTTTTCGTGACCGGATAGAAGGACTATAATATTCCGGACAGCCATGCCAGAAGATGCCAAGTAACAACAAAGCGAGTGTGTTCATGATACAGTTGTAGTTTAAAGGATTCTTGTGCTGATAATTCTGCAGAAAACAATCATCCTAACATTCCAAATGCTATAAGAAGTTTAAATGAACAAAATGAGGTACATAAGGTAGACCGACGAAAACATTTACCATAATAAAGATGTTCATGGCTCGAAAACTGCGGGTTTTTGGAACCGCCGATTTCAAAACGGGAAAAATCATAACCAGAACCGTTCATGACACGGTTTATAGCCAGTTTATGAACTGGAGGTTACGCTTCCAGTTCGCTTCCAAACTGCAGTTCGGCAAGCGGTTTCCTCCAAAAAAATTAGAATTTTCAAAACCAGCGAACCACCATTTTGTTCGGTTTCCCTCCAAATAAATTTTCAGAACCGCAAGTTTTTCATATGTGTCTGTGTGTATGAGTGTGTGCGTGAACCGGATCAAAACCGTGCAACAAGAAACCGTAATAGAACTGCCAAACCACGGTGTCTAGTTTCGGCTTGAACCGGAACCATGGTTAACCTGTTGACCTCCTGTTTGGCGGTTCAGTTCGGAACCTTGAACATATAGCCATTATTGGGCATTGTCACCACTTATTGCCATGTCCATGAACCTGCTTTCAGCCAAAACCAAATATCGGTATTGGGGAGATGTAAAAGACGTTGAAAACGAGTACCCGGATCATTTGAAAAAGGACACTATCATGAGATAATACTGCAAAGTCCTGCAAATCTACATAAAGTCATTTCTACCAATTCCAGACTCAAATTAGGAAAGATAAAAGAAACTATAAGCACAGTATACTTTGTTTCTCATATAAGAATTTAAGTATCAAATGGTATGAGCAAACCTTTGACCCTGCTGAAAGCAAATTACTTGTGACAAGTGCAATCGGATTTGATGGTAGCTGGTAAGGAAGAAAAATAAATGTAATATGTTAGCAGGAAAAGAAACATGAAGTTGTCCCTACTCCATTACAAAGGAGGAGAGAGAAAATCAGCAGTAGAAATGTGAGAAGATCGTACAAGAACTGGCACCCCGTTTTTTGCTATATAACGTTTCTGCTGTGAAAGTGGCTGCATCACGAACACAATTGAAATCACAAGTCTAGGAGATGGTGAAAAAAATTAACATGTTCCTAGAGTAGACAAAAAACCGACTGGAAGAGCAAGGCACGAGCCGTCATTATTGACAAGAGCAGAAACTTAATCAGTCAAAACAAAACCGAAATAAAAATCATACAAACTGTTGTTTGCCCCTAAGTCCAAGATTATCAAGTAAAAATCCAACAGCTGCCTCGCTTTCAGTCTGCGCACAGAACAGAAGTTACGTAGTTAGTGACATAAACATGATTAGATTCCAGAATAAATGGACTGCTGAGACTTGAAGTTTCAAGAGAGAGTACCATAGTGTTTGCCCCCTCGTCCCATATTAAACCATCATGTAAAATGCTTCTCAACTTTCCTCCAGTTCTCCCATCAGCTTCAAATACAGAGACATCTAATCCATTCAACTTTAGCTTATATGCTGCAGAGAGCCCACTAAACAGAAAATCACGAGAAATT